CGAGCCAGCGAGCCCATTCTGAAACAGACGCCCATTCTTGTTTGAACGCAACCTCAAGGTGCCCTACCCACCAATAGGTCCATTTGTGAAGCAAAATTGTCTTCCAAGACCCCCTGTGAGGTTTAGGCAAACGGCCAGAAAATTGGAGCTTACCGAAACCACGTTCCCCAAACCTTCACTGCTCAAGATGTGCTTGTTCTTCTTTGGTGTGTGCAGAAGAATGTCTGGCAGGGTGTCTGGGGGTTGTTAGAGTCCGAAACTGTGGTTGTTTCCCCTCAACCTACCACTTAGGGGGGGTGACTTTGACGATGGTACAATAATGAGGCCAGGTTGGTTGGGAGTCTGTTGATGGATGCAACCGTGCAACATCTGATGGAATCGTTTGTCCCATTACTCTGAGCGTCATCCACCCCAGCAAGATGTTGTCCACAGTGCCGGGAACCCGGGACTAATAAACCCGTTGATATGTTGGGGTGTCGCCTGTGACGGATAATTCTTACCACTTTTCTGTGTGAGCCCCCCTCCCCCCCCCCCCCCCCCACAGGATGGGTTTGACTTCAAGTCACCCTTGGCTGGTGGTTGGGATTGGTGGTTTTTGTGCGATTTGTAGCCCTTTTTCCTGTAGACATTCAAGAGGCAACCACCCAGGCCCCACCCTTTAGAGAAGCTGAACCGAGGGCTGAAAACCATACAATCATGAGAACTCTTGTTTTGAGAAACGCACTCGCAGCTTGCAGCTCCGTTGCACCCAAGACGCCCAGGTATGCCTAACATCCCCGGACTCTTTTGGACCCGAATCTTTGCAAGCCTCCCTGGAAGCCAGGCACTTCTTCAAGGAGTCCATGGAGCTCGGCTTCTTGTGCAACGGCATCCTCTCCGGACTGGTGGCTCTCACCGTTGCATGCCACCGGTTTGCACGCGGACTCCTCTCATACTGTGGGTGGTTGCGAAATCCATCTCGCACCACCTAAGAAATCATGGGAAACCATTGTGTGTTGGTGAAATTCAGGGGAATCATCATTCCAGGTTTCTTTAGGTGCTGCAGGATTTCGTCCATCCACAGTATATGTCTCGACCCCTGTTTGGCTTGCTTTGAAAGGGAAACCAAAGGAAACCGCCGGTTGGTCGGGTTTCTTCATGAGACAAACCCAGATAGAACTCCAAAAAGGGGGGTTCCTCCGATAAAACAGACGCCCATTTTGGTGGAATGAATTGACTTGGAAGACGAGGACTGTAAACCTTGTAAAAGTGTAGACGTTGACTTGGACCCCGTTCTCACAGGAAGGCAAGGTTGGAGCTAGGATACGTGTCACATGAAACAAAGAGCGGGGCTTTTTCACAAGGCCTAGCCTAGGTGGTGGTTGGAAGGGAGCCAGACGAGTTGGAGGTATCTAAATTTGCTTCCACAGAGGGAGCTAAGGAGCTACCAGCAGCCCTGTAAGGACATGGCAGTAATTCTCACGAGAGATGGACAAATCCTGGCTCTCGTCAATTTCAAAATCTTAGAGGGAGTTCTCTTCACCTTTCTGTAAAGGGGTTCAACTGGCAGACTCTAATTCTGAGCGGCGCGATGCCTCCGCAGCTGGTTTCACGAGCGATGTTCAAAAGACATGGGTGTTGATTTGCTGCAGACCTTCGACGTCCGCGTATCTCAAGAACTCTACGGATGGGGGCGGGCGCAGCCCCAACAAAGCACCCTTTCCACACTTTCCGGACTTTCCCTTTGCGGGTGCAGGGGGCTACAGTGTATGCACGGGTGGCCCCAGGTTTTTCCCAGTGGGGGTGGGGATCTTGGAATGTTTGCAGGAGTTGCTTAAGAAGCGTGGCACTTTCAAGGACATGCATTTGTCCATATGGCGGGGGCCAACGGGTGTTCTTAACTTTCTTGTATCTCAAGCCCCGCAACAACCAGTTACAGTCAAAGCATACACGCCCACGCGCCACGTTGCACTGCATTAAGAGAAGAGCCAAGCACAGCCTTCGTCTCCCTTCCTTTCCCGCTGAAAGGGTGGGTTTGAAGACCGCAAAGGCAAAAAGAGGCAGTTCGCGCTCTTTTGGTGGGCTTTTGACCTTGGCCGGCTGCAGGGCGTTTGCATCAGATGTGCTTGCCTGCAAGTTCTGAAACAGATGGCACCTGGCTTTCGTGTGTCCGGTATGAATGGTGGGGAGAGGGTCTAGCACCTACTAAATCCTTCACAAGTTTTGAGGGGCTTGTTCATTCCAGGGTTGCCCCCATCGCTTGCCTTGGAGGTTCATGAGCACTTTCCTGTGCCGCGGTGCTCTTGGATATGTCCCTCTTCTCTCATAGGCTTCGTACGAGTCCGGATAACACCTCACGGAAGTGGTGGAGTTTCTGCTTGAGATCGACGATGGGGCTTCCTCCAATTTCCAAGATCTGTTCCGCGGACGGGCGTGTTTCCAAACGCCGGTGCAGAACCTCTCATTGCTCGAAACCTCCTGAACAAACCATACGTGGAAGGCATGAACCCAGCGAATAACCCATACATGTGTATGCATTTAAATGCATTGAAATTGAAACTACATGAACAATACATAAAAATCTAGATCGATATATATATATATATGTATATATCAGCCCCTGGTGTGGCTCTAAGTTCATGGGTATTGTTTTTCTTATCCATAGCTAACCCACCGGTGATCTCCCAGTGAGCCCCGCAAGGTTTTGGGACATTGTGGGTGAAGTTATCAGCACACGCCATTCATGGCCACCTTGGGGGAAAACGGGCTCGTCCTTTCAGGGTTTCCCCATTTCAGGTTGGTGAATGCTAGCAGTTAATTCGCAGAGGTTGGACATGTTGCAACAAATGCATCAAACTGCCAACATCACAGGGCACGGCCACTGAAGTTGCAGTGTCATGTTTCCAGGAAGTTTCCGCCTCGGCACCTCAGAAAAATCCACCAGCCGCAGATCCGAGGCGACATTTTGAAACCCTGGGGGGCGGTGCTCGTGGGCTTCATCGCCGGCTTCGTGGTGTACCCCTTAGGCGCTCTTCGAAACTTCGGGGGGTCGAAGACGCGGGGTCTGAAGGGGGTCCTTCCGTTGAGTGGGCTCCACCCCTCTAACTCCCTGTGTGAAGTCTGTTTGGCGGGCTTCCCAGTAAACATGTGTTCTTCTCCAAAGGTGATGATTCCCGGCTAAAGCCAAGGACCCCCCCTACTAATACACTGTGGTTCATTAATCCGGAGCTCCCATTAGCCATGGTCCGCCCCGCCCAATTCTTTTTCGACCCTTTGGGATGGGCAAGTTGGTTTTGCCCCCCACGGATCTAAGGACCCGCTCTCAGTTGTTTGAGCAGATTCCGGCAGAACAAACACGCCGCCTGAGAATGCTGATAATTTTCCGCACCAAGACGTGGTGTTGTGCAGGACTTGATTTCATGCCCCACTTGTCACGTTTGTGCAGGGTCTTCAATTGGTCGAAGAGCCAAACCCGAACTTCGACTTCGGAACAACCTCAAAACTTCCTGATGGGGCCGGGATGGCCTTCCAAAAGGAAGGGCCTGTTCGGAGGTTGCTTAGGGTTCAGAAAAACAAATACTGCCCCGCTGATCAACAACAAAGCTACAGACTTGTCGGGCAGGGCAGGGCCATCGAGGAGTTGTTTGCCAACTTTTGCTCGTCAAGTATTTTATCCTGGTGGTTTGGGTTGGCGGTTTGGGGATTTGAAGCCCTGGTTCTTGTAGAGAGGGTAAATGAGAGGAGTTGAGAAGCCGTTCGGATGAACAAAGAGGGGAAGCTTGTGCAGGGTTCCAAACTGTCCGATAGACCCTTTGTTTGCTGGGAGCTAGCTACAACTCTCTTTGCGAGGCCACTATGCCATGAGGCGCTTGCGTGTGGATGATCCAGCAGACGCTTGGCATCTCTTCAGTAGTGATGGAGTCAGATCCCTAGGAGCCCAAGACCTCATCATTTGAGGTCTTTGGGGGGGTCAAAGGCCCTCATATTTAGGGTCTTGGGCTCCTAGGGGATGGGTAACGTTGACTTCGGACAAAATCCACAGCCATGACTACCTTTAGCCGCGAAGAACCCGGGCGTGCGGTCAGGCGTTCGCGGTTTCCACGTTTCCAGACCTTCGAGAAACCCAGGGGGAGATTGAATGGGACAAATTTTGCAACGCTCAGATTTTCTTCTGGGGGCGTTTTCTTCAAGGACCTGTGGCTGGAGAGCGGACTTGGGTAGGGAATGTTCGATTGTTTTGCACTGTGTCAAGGCTGTCTGCACCTTTGGTTCTCTTTCGGTCTCTTTTTAAAACAATCCCAACAGGGTATCTCTCAGCAAAGTATGCACCCACTAGCCATGTTGGTTTGTGTGCAGAAGTCCCCATGCGGACGTGCACCAAGAGGTTCCCAGCTTTGAACATACCCAAGTCACACCTTGCTTTCCCAGGCTTCGAAACCGTGGCTCACTTGGATGTCGCTTAGACAAGTCTTGCTCTTCCATGCAGTTTGGCGTTGAAGAGTCGGTAGTTTCGTCAAACGAAAACAACAACCTCTAGTTGTCAAACAATTTTAGTGTCAACAGCAATTTAAGTATCAATCCACACTCCAAGTTTGTGTCAAACAAAACGTACTTGTTCCGGCCAATCCACTCCAGTTAGACAGCCCTAGATTCAGGACGCCATCCCAGTGCATGCGGGCAGCGCCCTCTTTGGCGTGCTGTCTGCCGGCTTGTGTGCCGCGGCTTCTGGAAGAACCACAGCGACGACTGTGGGTGGCAAAATCCATTTCGCACCAGGAAATGAAACTGTGGGAGGTATTTTTAGGAGGAAGCATCATTCTAGAACCTCGTAGGTGGTTCAGAATTAGGTCCATCCACCGTCTCATAGGCACCGAAAGGAAGTTCTACGGGAAAACGAGTCAAATGTTGACCCCGGATCTAAGTACAACCCCGCTGATTGATTTTGAGGGTAAAATTTGTGTGCAACTTCTTTTAGTTGTTGTTGGATTCGGAGCGCTCCGCTTTTGGAAAAGACATCCCCCGGTTGATAGACCCGGTTTATTCATCCGGGGTCAAGACAGCAGGAAATCATACAGAAAGTTTGCCAAAAATACCCCAGGCAAAAACGAAGATCTCCTTTGAAATTTCCTGCAGTCTGGTTTCTCAGGTAGTGGTTTGTTAGGCAGTAAGAAGGGTTAACTATTTGCACACCTTGGTAATGCTCTAATTTGGTTGGAAGTATCCATTCGGTGCCAGGCGTGACTCACCCTTCTGCCCTAGCGTTCTTTGGCTCATTTGCACATGTTTGGGGCTGGGGACTGGGTTTGCACCTGCTGTGGTTACACTTTGCCCGGGATGAGTGCCTTTTTTTTTTCCTTCACGTTTGTTTAGGCTTGCTTTTCGGCGTTCCTTGTTTGTATATATTCTTTGCATGTTTGTTTGAGTGGACTGGTTTCCCACCTGCAGTTGCATTTTGCCCGGACCCCATGATTGTACCGTCTGCTTATGCAGCTGTTTCGTCGTGCCCGGGTGAAAGACGTGGGGGGGGACCCCACGAAGATGACTTGTCCAGAGAACGCTGATTAAAAAAAAGCTGCGTTGGCTTTCGGGGGACCTTTGGATCAATCACCCAACATGCAAGTAAACGGTTGCAGGTCAGTTGAACCTTGGATGCCCCCCCCTCAAAGCTCAAAACAAAGCAAGCACAGAGCACAAAAGCTAAAGGACAAATCCAGCAAAGGCTGGTCCCTCCCGTTTGTTTCCCAAAAGTGTGGCCTCACCTCAATCTGAAGCGAGGGCCCACAGCCAGAGCGCGGCCCCACGGCAACTTTGTTTACGAAAGGCGCGCGGTCTCGTTTCCCAGCCGTGTGGCATGCAGGGAATCAATCTTCGTTTTGCGGGTTCGGGGCCTGAACATATCATTACTGAGTTGTTTGAAGGTGGGCCTTTTAAAGAAACAGTTTCCTTTTTTTTCAAGTGAAGCCAACATAATTAAACACCACACCAACTGCGCTAGAACTCCCTCCGGGACTTTTTTGACGGACACCGGAACGCCCAGCTGCGCTGGCCTCAGGTAAACCTGCCTGCGGGCCCTTTCCAGATCATCCCTTCTGCCGCCCCGATCACCAGATTGGCCCGGCGCCTATCGGGACACAGATTCGCCCAACCGCAAGGCTCCCGAGATGTTAGGCTCTTGGAGTTTTCTTGCGCTCAGGGAATGACCTTTCAGGTGTTGGGAATGAACCTAGAGATTCCCTCAAGGGAAACCATCGGGGATGGTTTAAAGAGTTTGTTCCCTCGTTCCCTGCTGGGAACCAGCAAGTCATTGCCCTTACCTTCTTGGCCAATTCAAGCCGTTGTTCAAACATAATGCCATGCTTGAATTTCCAATCGCACATGGTGCGATTGTTAAATGGGTTCTATGTTTGTTCAGATGGGATTGTCTCACCACATCAAAAAGGCGATTCCCCAAGACAAAGCCACACACACACACGCACAGATGGGTGTCCATGCTTTGATTAGTGAAATTGCCCTACTGTACTACTGCACCTAGGCCTTCAATTCCTGGCGCAGCTGGTCGGCGTTTTAACGATCATTGGGTGGACGCTCGCGGCGGCTCTGGCGGCAAGTGGGCACGTCCTAACCACTGAAGCAAACTAGCAATACACCCTCATAATGCTTTTTTTGGTAGGTAGTTGTTTCTGGGGGCGACCAAAGTCAAAAACTAGCGTTGCTTCCCTTTTATAATTTAACCTACCACTTGGTGGGTGTCGCCAGGCCAAACCCGAGACTCAAATTGGATGCGTAGAAAAACAAGACGTTGCTCTTTGCAGCCCCGCACTGACAATGAACAGAACCAACGGCGACTAAAGTTCACGGTCGACGCCCGTGCAGGCTCATACGTTTGTCATGCGTCATTTGTCATTGTTCTGACCAGTGGGTGTAGCGACGTTTCCTTTGTAGATCATCATCAGTCCGAGGTATTTGGACGCATTGGGTCCCTAAGCTTCGATTCTTTGAGGAGGGAGGGCTTTTCTCCAGAATGACCTGTTCATCGTGGTGGGTACAAGGGTTGAAGAACTGTCCAAGCATATGCCCAGAGGCAAAGCGCGGGGAATTCCAATCCATGTCGGACTAAAACCGGAGGTGAGTGAGGTCGAGCGAACGTAGCCTCCCATCGGTCGTGAGGGGGGGAAGGGGTCGCTTAGAAAATAAGCTCAGGTGATATCCCCAACGGTGCTCGTTTTAGTGCTCGCACCACCCCGCAGCCCTCGCAGAACCGTGGAACCAAGGTGGAACCCGCGTAGAACCTTCCCTCAAACCCGCCCCAAACCACCCCGGAGCCTATCCGGGCTGAGACCCCAAGCTTTCAGCTGTTGGGGAGGGAAAAGAAACTTTCTGGGATCCGGAACCTTATTTCCAGTTTGCGACTTATCCGCAATTCGGCAAGGTCTATCTATCCTTCCATTTTCTTAAGCTTCCTTTTTTTTCCCTATTGGCTTTAAAGGGAGTCTATCACTACTGGGAATATGTCTATTTTTCCAGACGGCTTAAGCAAATGGAGGTATCCCTTTGAAATGATGGAACAAGCAACTGAACGACTCACTTTTTGCACATCCACCGGCAACTTTCTGCTTGGGTTCCAATTTAAAACCTTTCCTGGGACCCACGTTCCTGATTTACATGTGGCTCATCTCGTAATTTGCTCGGCTAGATCGATATATCCCTGTGTGATCTGTTGCTTTCAAGAGAAGTCACATGAGGATCCCCATTTGTTTTTGCGCGAGCTCCATTGAAAAATCTTGGGCGGCAGCTGTGTCTTCTTTCAGGGTACCCCTTTTGAAGGATGGTTTTCGATGGAAACCAAAAGGAAGACCGAAGCCCTTTTTGGGTTCAGAATCTCACTCCCTGAGTTTCTGGACTTAATACTTTTCTGGGAAGACAAGTTTAGTGGTAAACAAAAAGTTCGGACGTGTTTTGGAAAGGGTGCTATGTTGTTTAGGGAATTTTTATCCCGCTGGATTTGGATTTTTTCCAGTCCCCCGGGCAAGCAAGCAAGCAAGCAATGAAGCACCCTGAACCCTCTTGGTATACTTCAAACACAAAACCGCCTACCCTACACCTGCGCCGGCCCACCTCAGACCCTAAACGCCCCCCCAAACCTTCCCTTAATCTACCCTTAGCCACCCTAAACGTGCCAAACGTGCCTTGAACCCTAACAACGCACACCCTAAACACCCGATCCGAAACCTCACTAGACCCGCCTTTTCCTCACCCAACCAACCCAAATTCGTTTGAACCCACCCTAGACCAATCCTAAACCGACCCACCTAAAGCAACCGCAAACACACCCTAGACCAGCCTTGAGCCATAAACCCACCTACACCCGAGCCCCTAAACCCACCCTAAACCACCCTACGCCCCCCGAACCTAACTTAAACCAACCCTGAAAGGCCCCCTAAGCCCACCCACCCTGAACCTGAACCCACTCCAAAAGCCAAAGCCAAAACCCGCCCTAAACCAACCCTGAACACCCTACACCACCCTACAAGAGCCTAGATGCCCGTCACTCAGCTTGCTTTCATTCCCCTGTCCTGTTTCACTAAGGCGCCCGCCGAGTATCCTCGTGAAGGTGGCGTTTCATGCACCAAGGACGTCCTGGATGACGGTAAGAGGCGAACGCACCCAACCTACTTTAAACCCATCCTACCCTAAACCAATAACCTGCCCACCCCAAACCCATGCCAAACCTACCCAACTAAATCCAACCTAAACCTACCCGAAGCCTACCCTAAACCTTGGACTTTGAACCGACCTTGAACCCCGTAGACCCCAAACCCAGCCAATACTGAACCTCACTCTAAGCTACCAGAACCACACTAAACCCACCTTAAACCCACTTTAATCCTCAACGAAACCAACCTTGCGCCAACCCAACTCCATCTAACCCTCTACCTAAGGCCCACAACCACCCCAACCAAAGCCCACCCCGAACCCCCAACCACCCTAAACCCTAAGCGCGCCCTAGACCCACCTTAAGCCACTCCAAAGGTGACCGGAAAATGGAACGGATAAAAACTCCCAAAAGCGCTGGAAAGAAACATATTCCCGCAAAAATAGGTCGGGCTGTTGGAAAGTTGACAGGTTCAGGTGAGTTGACCTGAGGTGATCTTCCCGGTCTGGGCCTTCTTCCTCTTCTCCGAGTCCATCCGTTCCTTGGAGCTGGAAAACCTCGTGCAGACCTTCTCGCGTCTCGGTCGGGCACGGGGACGGAAACGGGAAGACACGGAAAGAAACAAAGTGGTGTACCCAAATTTTAGACCCACTATAGTGGTCAACTATCATGTGTTGCTTTGCCTTGGTCCTTTGGTCCTTGACCATTTCCACGGAAAACACGTGGTTTGGAGGACAAAGATCCTTTTCCGGGCAAAAGACAATTAGTTTTGGGGAAATGGCTCGCAGGGAGCCCGGGCCTTTGCAAGCCGCCTCACAGGCGTCAGGCAGGTGAGCTTTTGTCTGAAGGGTTTCGTGGTTTTTTGGCGTAGCTGGTGGTTATTACATTCACATCAGGTAACCCCTACGGCAGTTGGTGGTTTGGAGGCCGGTGGTTTGGATTTGGACTTGAACCCCAGTACCTTTTGACGCCAAATGGGAAGGTCCAAACCACCCAGCCAAGCCACCGACTAGGGGTAAGCTGACCATTTGCACCATCTTTCGGGCTGCAGGTTCTGCTTTTCTGCGCGGAAAGGGCACAACTCATCCAAGAACTCTTCCGGCCTGTCCCTGCTGCGCCTTTTCCAAAGTCCTGTTTTGATGAATCAACATCTAATACTGCATGGCGGTCCCTACATTGTTTTTAGCTCAGAGCGGCCTTGCATGTGCCGATGTTTCCATTGAAGGGGTCGCTGCTTTCCCGTCGATCTCTATCGCCGGGTCAGTATACTTAACTCCTGCTTCGCTTCGAGAACTAGCCGGAAGCGGGGATACGGTGGACACCCAGAACATTGCAAGTACTACAACCATTAGAATTTACAGGCTTTGCTTCATTCCATACGTGCAATATGTTCAGTATATTTTCGGGCATCCGTTGTAGATGAACAACAATCATAAGTATAAGTGTTCTTGGAGAGCACGACGCGGCAAGCACATGTTTGGACGTTCCCGGTTCCAACAAAGTGAACCGGTTGCATGTTTTTTTTTTTTTTCCCCGGGCGTGGTGCAGTGTGCAAGGAACGTCCAGGGAACCCTGCAGATGTCAGCGACTGTTTTTCATGTGTAGAGCGTAGTGGGATGGGTTTGATTTTAACATCCTCATTGCATGCCTTGCTTTCTATGGCTTCTCGAAGGCAGGCAGGAAGCAGTAATTCTCACACACACACACACTCCTGGGCAGTTTGGAAAGGATTTGAAGTTCTGCATGCCATTGTTCATGGGCAGGTTCGCATCGGGTGGTCATCCATGCCCATGTTCGGCCAGAAGCGACATTGTGACATTGTCACTGCTTTTCAAGGATTGCCAAAAATGGTTTTTGAGAAACGACGCGTTTTCCCGGGGGACATGAAAGCCTCGTATGTTACCTCCGTGCTCGCTTGCCACGCGAAACGGGGTGAGGGCCGAACAACTAGAACTTGTACATTGTGTGCTGGAGGCTTCAACCGAGTTACTTGCAATCATCTCTGGTACGAAAGTGACTATGTCAACGAGGGCACAGCTGGGCTTTGAAGGATTGCTGGGTGCCGGGAATTGACGGAAGCCGAACTTTGCCAGCTTTCCCCTCCAGACGATTGTTTCAGGGCTGCGGTCGCATGTCCTCGCAATCCATGCCTTTGCCCCAGGCAGTCTGTTCCCTGCCGGAGGGGACGCACGTCACATCACATAGCTATGAACTTGCCTTCGGTACGCGGAGGCTTGAGAAGGCCACGAGAAAATCTGGCAATATCTTGCTGGACAGGCACCCCTTCCACCACAATCCCAGGCCCCTCTGTGTGTTGTTCCCAAATGGAGTGGGATGGACTAGTCTCAATCAGGATACCGCATGTTCGGCCGCCATCGCATCAATCCACGTTTCATTTGTTGGGCATCCAACTGATCCTGTTGTTCGCGCCTATCCAAGGCACACTGTGGACATGGAAGCTGGCAATGAGGAGGCAGACGGAGACAGCCTCCAGCTAGCCTGTTCTCTCTTTATAGCAGGCAGTAGTTCCAAGCCAATCTTGGCTTGAAACTTGGAGGGCGCTGTGAAAGCAGAGCCTGGTTTGTTCTTCTCAGCGAAAGCCTATGTGCCAAGAGGACAATGCGTGTCTCGTTTGGTTTTGTTTTGCTTCCGCGGGAGGCATGCCGTTTGGTTTGTGAGGGGGGCCACCCAAGGCACATCCGCAGCGGTGCCACCCTCAAAGTGGAATACTGACAGGGCTATAATCTGATATGCTTTGATCCTATGGGTTTGCAACGTACCCAACAACGCAGTTCTAAGTGTTTTGGGCCTCATCGCATATCAAGGGAGGCGGCTCAGCTTAGTTTGACTTTGATTTCGTGCTGCTGGCAATTGCTCGGAGCAGTCTCGTCAGGCCTTCTGGAAAGAAGCTGCACGAAGCTCCCGCGTTCTCCGATCGCTCCTAAGCGCCTCGAACTTTGAACGCTCAGCGGCGTGTGAGATGCGCAGAAGGGGTTAGAAGAGATGAGCGATGTCTGAGCTGCATGCCCAGGCAGAGCTTTTAGATCCAACTCACCTTGTTCCATTTCCGCTTGTCAGCTCTTCATCCGATGTTTGCCTCAGGTCATGCCAGGAACAAGTCTGGTTTGGTTCTCAGGCAGCTTGACCATGCTTGGCTCCCTTTGTCCAAATGGCACGGCCCATTCAACCATTGGGCAAGTGGGGTTCATCAAGTTCCCATGTTGGGGCGCACCTCCATGGCTCTGGGTCGGGGGTCCCGGGGCATGACCAACACGTTTGCGGGGTCCTGGAATTACGGCAATTCAGGGACCCGTTCAACGGGTTCTAGTAAACGGGTTAACCGATCGCTTGCTTGCCAAAGGGCAATCACGAGTCCATTGCATCCGCCCATTCGTTTCGGGTCAATGGCTGAGGTCACTACGGCTGGACGTCGGGGGCGTTCGCTTTCCCCGGCGAGACGGCCTTAAGAAAAGACGAGACCACGGCCGCGGAGTTCCGCGCGGATTTGCTGGATGCGATTCAGGGCGCCAAGTCGGTGCCCGGCTAAGCCGAGAGTTTGGTCGGTCTTTTGGTGTTGTTTTTTTTTTTTTTTTGGTGGGGGTTGGTTTTCGCTTTTTCTTCTTTTTTGTCTTCTTCTTTTTTTTTTGGGGGGGGGAGAGGCAGAAAGGAATCCAGGAAGCCAGCCATAGCGGGTGCTTTCACGAGGCCCTGTTGGGGTCGCATCTCCGGACGAGCAAACCTCCATGGTGGGTTCCCCTGGTTCCAAGAGCCTGGGAGCTTTCAGGGCTCCGGAGTTCCAGCGGAAGCTCTGCCGCTGTTTTTTTTTTTTGTTTTTTTTTGTAAGTTCAGGGCTGAAAAAAACATGTTGCTAAAACATGTTGTTGTTCTCACTTCCCGAGTTCATGAACTTCAATTTTTTTGGGAAGACCATGGTAGTGGTAAACATAAAGTTTGGACTTTTTTTGGGCCATACTCAGCAAGTGAGTTTTAGATGTGCTTGTTCCCTTTGTTTTTTTGTTTTTGTGTCTTCCTTTTTTTCTCCGTAGAGCAAATGTAGACCAGAATCTGAAGACATACTTGTGTACCCCAGATTCGGGTACTAAGGCGAGAAAAATGGCCTGCAGGTTGGAGGTCCCTCTCGGTTTGGCAGGCTTCCCGCTCAAGGAGCCAGGCACCCCCCCCCCCATTTTGGTGTTTTCTTCTTTTGGCGTCGAAGGACAAGGGCACTGCAATTCAAGCCTCACATCTGCCCCTTTCACCAACGGGCAACTGAGTAACTGAGCCGTCAAAAGCCGGGAAGGTTCGGGGATGGCCCCAACCTGAAATTGGTGCCGATCTTGAGATTTTTACCCCATAGTGTTCGGTAGCCCATCTTCGTTGGTTTTTAGGGAATGAGACCTGCTGTGGATGGTTGCGAAGTCGATTTCGCACAACCTCAGAAACCCTGGTTTCGGAGGATGCCAGCGCACGTTCTGGTTTCAACCATGGTTTCAATTCCTGGTGCGAGAAGCGGATTCCTAACCATCCACAAGGAAACCATTCGGAGGGCCTGATCAAGGAAGCCACTAATTGTTCTCGATTCGGAATGAGGTACGGGCCCCGCATCCATAGAAGGCCCACAAACAGCACAAGAACCCAGCGAAAAGGGAAAGTACACAAAGACAGAAGCTTCCTTCTTGGGTTCTCCAGAATACACACCTTGAAAAGGGTTTCGGCAAGCACGTAGACCCAAATTTGTTCAGGCGCCTTTTGACCAGGTCCTTGGTAGGCGACCTCCTACCCCTCAAGAGCGGCCAAGGCCCTGGAGACAGACTTCTGCCTTATGCAGCTCTTTATCCGTCTCTCGGAAGCAAAACGCGGAACCCCTTCTGCTTGCACGGGGGCAACCCTCTTTTCGTTTCAGGCTACCCTTTCGTGGTTTTGGTGGGGTGGTGCTTCTTGTGGGCAACTTGGAAATGACCCCGGAACTGCAAATCCGAACCAGCAACTAGCGTGCGCTCATGGCCGGAAGTACTCGGCCCCTCGAAAGAACCTCAGATAGCACCCTGGGAAAGAACAACACTTCTGCGAACTGCCGGTGCTCTCTCAGAAGCTCTGAGACAGCATGTTTTCCCGAAAAACATAAGATGGGAGTACCATATTTTCAAGTCTCTGAGGTGGTTGCAGGGCAGGACACATGCTACAAGGCGTTAATTGCTTAAACGGAGCCTAAAATGAAATGGACCCTTTACTATTTGCTAGGCAAACTGCCCGCACTAACTTGTTCCGATTTGTTTAATGTCTGGCTCACCCGCAAAAGGCCCACCTTTTGGCGCTTTTGGGAGGCGTCTAGAAGTGTCCCTACTATGCCCCCAGGCATGTGGCCATCGGTGTGGAAAAGTTGTTGTTTGGATGAGTGTGGTTCCTTTTTTGTTGTTTGTATTTTTGTTGGGGAGGATGTTGTGGACAATTGCGATTGCCATCTGTGATACTCTTGGGAATTCCTCTTGAAGGATGGGACTCCCACTGGGCGGTTTTTCGACTGGGCGTGCATAAAAACCCTTTGCTGCATGTTGGGCCAGAAGAAAGCAAGAAAGCCACGGGCAAACAGACCTCAGCCTTTGGCTGTCTGCACGGTTTCATGGGTTGGGTTTCGGGTGGAAGGCCGGGAGTGCGCCGTCTTCCTTTCTAATGTATAGGCACGCTTCGATTGGTAAAAGGGAATTCATAGAACTTCAAGCGGCCACCTGCCTGACTTCCCCATCTGAGTGGGGATCCCCTTGGGAAAATTCCAGTCCTCATGCTGCAGCGAAACTGGAAGCAACTAGCCTTCAGAAACACTCGGTGAATTTCCACGGTTGTACTTTTCCAGAACATTAATATGCACCCAACGCTAACATGCACCCGAAAACCGCCAGGCGGACTGACTTGGGCCAGAATAGGTTCCCCGACAAACTTGTCCGGAAGCGACATCGATGTCCCAGGCTTGGCGAGGCAGGCAAAGCGGCGGCTTGACGTGCAGGGCACATGATCCTTAGAATCACGGGCTCTGGGGGGAGGGGGGGAGGACGGGGGCAGGGAGCCCAAATCAGCCGTTAACAAGGCTTAATAAGGGCTTAATAAGGGCTTATTTGGGCCCCCTCCCCGCTTCCCAGCCCCCATGATAGAAGGACAGCATGATCCCCACCAGGTTTCTGGGTCGCTGGGTGCCTTTTCAGGTGATGCTTCCATTTTCCCTCTGAGAAGGCTGGAGAAATGGAATTGGGGGACCGAACCCCACTTTGCCTCAAAGTAGGGGGGATGATGCCTGCGGGCCAATCAACAAATCATGACCAAACTCAGCTGCTTTGAAGGAGCTCCTTGTAAAACAGTGGGATGCATCCGACAAGGACCGCTGCAGTGACTATGGTTCACCCACCAAAAGCATGGCAAGGCCCCCAAGTAGAGTGCAACGGCAGTAAGCCGCTTACTGCGTCCCTGCCCCTTTTAGGAGCACAGAGTTTGCCGTGCCCCGCAAACTTTACCTGATGAGTTGGCAGTGTTTGTTGTTGGTCATTGGTAGGCCTCTTGATGGCCCGGACAGTTTCTGTGGTTTCTGGCCATTCAGTCCAGCAGTGTTCATTTGCGACCACAGCCCCTTGAAATTTGGCTTCTTGCCAAAGCTTTTTCGGTCGCGGTGAATCACGAGACTCTGATACGAACCTCGGAAACTGACCTGCAAATAGCCTTTTGCTGCAGTTTGTTTCTCTGATTTCTCTTGTGGGAAGCAGCATGCTGACGTTTTGTCGGGATACCATCTTCTAGCTTTGGGTGTGCATTTTGATTCAAAGACCGTTTCTAGGATGAGTTTCCCAAGCATGGAACCATCCAAGGGAGTAATTGTATATTATATAGGGCTCATGCAAGAGGGTATATACCACGCACCGTTGCCTTTTACGCCTCTTACGGCCCGTATTTGAGTTGATAGATTTTTCGGCACGATGTTCGACCATGGGACGGGTCTTTGCGGAATGGCTAATTCTGCCGAATCCCCACTTTCAGCTTACAGCTGGCTGCACCTGCCACCAGCCCCATAAGGTCGTCAAGGTTCAGAAAGCAAGTTTTTGGAACATTTGCCTGGACCCACCTAATTGCTGTCCTCTTTGGTCCTCTCCGGTTCTGTCTCCCTGCCTTGGCCAAATCGGACGGCAATAGGGAAGAGCGCGAGGCTGGTTGCTTTGATTTTCCAGGATAGCTAATCATGTTTTTTGCTTGGCGGGGGGGTGCCCTTTCCCTTTGTGAGATTGTCAAACCTTGGTTTAATTTTTAGACTTGCTCTTTCTGTATAGCTCATTGTTTGGAGACTTGTTGTGTCAACCCATGGGGCCCTGAAAGGGAGTAGCACGTCCGAGCCTTGATGCAAAGTTAATTTGTTGTTTGGACTGGTGATTGTTGGTTTGGATTTGGATTGGAATTCCTCCCTAACCACCTTGCTGGGGAGATATCCGGGGAATGACCATTCCGGGTGTTGAGAATGAAGGTTCCATGTCTCATTCCCTGCCTATCGAAGCGAGCCAACAGGCCGGGATCCAAACCAAACGAGGGAAGCTGAGACAACGAGGCTGCGGTGCTGCCAGTGGCTGGGCCGCCTGCGGCTGCGGATCTCCCCGTTTGCGGAGCCAAGTGCGTGGGTGGGAGGGGGGCGAGGAAGGCGTGGTTGTTTGGCGTGTCTGACCCAATTGTTTAGTTCATTTGACTAGGTCCCCCAGCTAGGTGCCCTTTAACCGTTTCTTTTTTTGGGGGAGGGTTCCCCTACTAAAATAGACTACAGAGAAAAGGGTGACCTTATTCTAACCTCTCGACTGGAGGGGGGTCAACAGGAAAACCATGCTTTATTTTTGGGTTCCAGCATGTTTTGAGCGAACATAATTTGGAGATTGAACTTTAAGTCATGGGGGGGCCCTTTTGGTGTTTGAAGGGTTGCCAGATGAAACCAACCACTTCAGGCGGCTCCCATATTAAATATTGAGAACTGTCCCATTCAAGGGGCTTCACCCCTGCCAGGCGGAGCAGGATACACGAGGAGTTCTGTTTTTTTTTTTTTGCGGCCAGAAACATAGGTCACTGATGTCATACTGATGAACGAAGTCCATTTCGCACCACTTGAAACCATGAAAAACCACTGTTTGTTGGTATTTATAGGGGAAGCATTTTGTCCAGGGGTTCTTAGATGGTGCAGGATTTTGTTCCTCCACAGTAGGGCCATCTATGTGCCCACGCTGGTGCTCTACTTCTGGCGGTTTTGGTCGAAACCTTGCATGCGGTTTGTTCCTCTTTCTGGGTGGTGGGCTGCGTTTCCCTTGAAGACGCCCAACGCAAATGGTTTCCCCTCAAGACACGCCGCCAACACATGGCTTCCCACAAAACATGAGCATCCCGGTTTTGCAGTACCAGGCAGCTTTTTCTGCTGTTGGTTCTCTGTGTGTTGTTGCGTTTTTCGGCTGAGTGGTTCCCCCCGAGCCACAGAAGGAGGTTCAGGGGTTTGGCGCAATTTGTGTAAACAAGGCTTGCGTTGCTCGAACTGACCTGCAGCACATTGTAAAAATCTCACTCTTGGGTGGAAGCGGCCAGTTTGTCAACAAAATGCAGGTTGAGGCGGCCCTAAGAAGGGTATCCAACGTGTTGCAAGCTTTAGGTTAACCTTGAGGATCGCATTCCTCAGGTTAGGAACACTCCTTCCTACCCCGAAGGGCCGCTGCTATGGAAGCAAACAAAAGCATGCATGTGTGCCAATCGGCAGATTACCTGTTTCCAGCTGAATGAGTACGGGCTGCTGTTCCTTGTCTAGGTCCCCCAGTAGTGCCCTTTTACCGTTTCTTTGTTGGGGGGGGGTTCTCCTTCTAAAATAGACTCCAGAAAAAGAGGGTACCCTTATTCTAACCTGTCTACTGGAGGACCTAGTTGGGAACCATGTGTGTGTATCCCTCAAAGAGCTGAAGGTGGATGGCAAACTTCCCTAACTTGGGTTTTTGGTTTAGTCACCTCCTTTACTTACCCAAATAAAGAAATATGTTCGATTTGGCTTAACACAAAGACAAACAATGGGTGCTCTAAAGAACAAGACACACCCATGCGGTGGATGGACGAAATCTTGCACCACCCAAGAATCTCTGAAATGATGATTCCCCTGTAACTTTCGTGGTGCGAACTGGATTTCGCAACCATCCGCAGTATCGTAAAGCTAACCAACCCCTCCCCAAGGGATGCCCCAAGAGGCCCTAGCAAGGGTTTGTTCCCACCAAGAAGGGGTACCCTACACAAAAAAAACATATTCAGGAATCACATCTAGGAACCTTGAGGGACCCCTGTTTGGGTTGCTTTTAGAGGGAAATCATACTGCGGATGAACGAAGTCCTGCACCACTTTGAAATCATGGTTGCAACATGGTATTTACAGGGGAATCATCAGAAACCAGGGTTTCTTAGGTGGTGCGAAATGGATTTCGCAACCATCAGGGCAAAAGTCTCGCTGGGGAGGCTTACGCCTTGGCGAAGCGCCAGGAGCTGTCTGGGCTGGGCGCCCTGGCCCCCGACGTGTTGCAGGGCCAGCAGGCGTCGGTTTGTCGGGGGGCTGGCGGGGGTGGGAGGCGGCCGGAGGCGAAGCTCGTTTTCCCCGAGCTGAGGTCTGAGGCACGAAGGTGCGCACACAGAAACTCGCTTCCTGGTCTAGGTCCTCCAGATTTGAGAGGAAGGGTACCCGATGTGTTTTTTCCCCAACAGCTGAAAGCTTTGGGGTCTCAGCCGAGATAGGCTCTGGGGTGGTCTGGACCGGCCCTGAGGTAAGGTTCCACGAGGGTTCCACCAGGGTTGCACCAGGGTTCCACGAGGGTTCCACGAGGTAGGGCTGCGGGGTGGTGCGAGGTCACCGCGTGCTGTTGGGAATATTATCTGAGCTTATTTGTTCATTTTCCCTTGTTGGTCTTAAAAGGAATTTGTCACTACTGGATATATTTTTCCGGCGGTCTTAACCAAATGGAAGTTTTGGATGGGTTTTTGCTCCACACAAAAGGGCAACGGGCTCAGCATTGTGGGGCTTCCGGACCCCAGACCAACTCAGAACTCTTAAGCGATCTTTTCCTTTTTTGGAGATGAATGGAACCAAACTGACACGAACGTGGAATGGAGCAATTTTAGCAACCGGAGTTTTCTAGTCATCTTGTTACCGGATGGGGCAAAAACCATCACAAGCTTTGGGAGAGCTTTTTGCTCGGGTGATGTATGCCTCACTGGGGATCCAACATTTTGCGGAAAAAGCTGCGGTGTCGCGGCCTTGCGACGCCGAACTCAGTTCTTTCGATGCCGCGGTGCAATGATTTGGGTGTGCCATTTTGGATGTCATTTTGTGAAGATGAATAAGTTTGATGTTGTTTTAAAGGGGAGCCAAAGAACAGCATCTCTTTCTTCTGTTTTTGCGGGGGTCCGGTATGTGGAAACAAGCCAATCTGTTGAATTTGATACTGGGGCCTAAGTAGTAGGCCCGAACGTTGTGCAATGGGCCAGTCACTTTTTCGCAGCCCAAAGTTGCGGGCTAAGAATGCGGCTAAGAATGCAGAATTGCGGAATTAGGACCTGGGAGGTCCCACGTTTCGGCAAGTAACGACTCGATCTCAAGGCCCAAGAAAACTCGAACAAACCTCTTCAGCATTCCTTCAAGGGAGGACCGCTGAGACTTCCATGGGGAATGCGGAGATGTTTGTTGAAGCCAAGCCTTTTTGTAGAACAGCTGGTGCTGGTTCTTTGTTGAACTCATTTTGCGCTTACATTCCCACGCCACCAGTTGAGGGAGTGCTGAGGGCTAGTAAATAGGTTTTGTGCGGGCAACTTGTGGCATCGCAACGGGCGAAAATCAATGACATTGAGACACACTCGTAGTTTGAGGCCGTGTACTCCCTACGCCCCCAGTACTTCTCAGCATGTGGCTTCTCGAAAATCAGTCTCAGCTTGTGCGAGCTCGGGATCCCAGTTTGTGACCATTTGGCAGTTTCTCGAACGGTGGACGCCCGTTTGGTTGGCAACATCAAAAGGAAACCAACAATTGTAGGGGATCCGTAATTTGAGAAGCTTTCATTTGATTTGCTTTCAGGCTGCCGTTCTCATTGCGGGATGCGGCGGCGGGGGGGGGGGGTTCGCGCGAACAGCGATACTCGTGCCAGATGGCAGAAATGATGAAGGGCGAATCTTAGCTGCAGTCGGTGTATAGGTCTGCTGGAAACGCGAGTTTTTGACAATGCTGGACACCTAAGGACCTAAGGATGTTGCGTTGCTGGACTCCTTGTTGTCATTGTGAGGTTGTTCCCATGGAATGGTGTTGGCTGCTCTGCTCCGAGCGTGTCTCTTGAGCTTGCAAGCGAACCCGAATGGGCGGAATCTGGCTTTGGGCTCTGAAAGGAGACTTTGCAGTGTAGCGCTGTGGGGCTCCTGGTGGGTTTCTTCTTAACACGGGAGGAAGAGCAAACCATGCACGAGCCAGCAGATAAATGTCCATTTTTTAATCCACTGTGTTTTTAGGGTGCAAGTGGAAAGGCACGAAGGTTTCTCGTCAGTATCCGAATCAGGTCATCAAGCCCCATGTAAGATCCCCGGTTTCAATGAGGCGCACGGAACGAGTCCTTCGAGTCGAAAGGCCAGGTTTGACCAGGCCAGCTCTGTACTTGCTTAGGCTTGTTGGTTCCCAGCTTGGTAAGAGCAGCCTTCATCTTGCTTTGCCCGGAAGGGTTGACAAACCACAGTTGTTCAGAGGCCTTACGACCTGATTCTTGTCTAACATGTGTTCCTTCTTTTTTTTCCGGCGCACCTTGATCAAGTAACAACTGTCCTGTGATTAGGGTGAGGCAAGTTGGTGTTTGAACACCCGACTTTGAACACCAGAACATGGATCCTTGAAAAACAACTCGTGCCCCTCCCTCCCTCCCCCGTCCCGTATTTCGAAAGCCCCTTGTCAGCGCCTCTCGCATGAGCCCTTTCGTATTCCCTCATGTGGATCCTTCGTGAACTCGCGCTCAAAGAGTTCCGCGATATTCTTGCCAATTGGTCGGGCTAAAAGGATCCAGCAAGTGGGGTAGCTTCCCTTTTGGTGGCCTCGTGACCGCCAATCACCAAAGGTTTCCGCTCGCTCAGAAATCTTAAGCCACAAATTGGCGCGCCGGCCCAACACATAGTGAAAATGGTGACCCTTCTGTGTGTTTTGCACCAATGCTTCCATGTGGTTCCATGTGGTTGCGCTCAAGCGTGCCAAAGTCGGTGCCCTCCGGAGAGTTCCGAATAGCCCGAGCCTAGCCCGGAGCTCCTTTTCGGGCTTGGTAGCTTTTTTGGAAGATATATTTTTTTCGTTGAAGTTCCTTGGAAGAGAGCATTTGATTTGAAACTTTCTTAAAAAATGAAGTGTCATTGCTTTGCTATGGGGGGTTAGTGGTCAAGAAAGTTTGAGTGTTTCTGGGGCCTCCCACTCGGGAAGTGAGTTGGGAGCGAAAATAACCGTGCTGTTTTGTCGACCCGGATTAAAACCCGGGTTGGTTTTGAGAGACGGGGTGCCTTTTGGTGGGGAGTCAGACCTCTTTTGGGCCAACACCCCCCCCCCATATAGGACGGGTTTGTGAATCTGGGGCCAACACTGGCAGGCGGAGGTATTTGGCTTGGAGTATCCTGGTGAGTCTTTTTTCTGAGGGACCCCTCTTCTTGCTTGTGGTGTAAAGGGGAACTAAGGGCAAACCACAATTTGGGGTTTTGTAGACAAAAGACACCCACAAAGGTGCAAGTGCGGTTTTAGATCTGGGGAATTGAGGTGCTGCAAGTGGTCACGGACATGCGCACTGCGGAGTCACAGCAGTCTCTTCCGCTGCAGCAGCAACTGGACAACCTCACCCGGCAGGTTCAGAACCAAGGCTCGGAACGACTAGCTGGTGGACGGGAGCTAGGGAGCTGGGTCACTTTGGTCTCCCTTGAAAAGAACCACAAGGTTTTTTCGGGCCCAAATGGGTGGTGTCTTGCTTTGGCGGACCCGCGGATAACTCACTCCCTGAGTTCCTGGATATGCTTTTTGGGAAGACCACTTGAGTGGTAATCACAAAGTTCAGACTTCTTTCTGCGCCAGTGCGCTCAGGAAGTGAGCCATAGTGCGTTCTTTGTTTTCCGTTGGGTTTCCCTTTGGTGTCCCTTGAAAGGACCCACAAGGTTCCCTTGTTTTGTTATGTTTTGTTGTAGCGGACCGCTTACAGTGCATTCGGCTCTATTTTGGTTTCCCTTCAACAACCAACCCACAAGGATACCCTGGAAGTAGATTTCGGAGTCGACCTTCAGGCCTCCAAAGGTGTCCAGAACAGGTGTGCGAGGTTGTTTGTCAATGTCGCGGGCCCCGATTTTGGCATGATTTCGCGGTGTTCCTTCTTATTCCCCACTAGACAACCCCGCCCCCCCGAAAAGGTACCAGGTACCCAAGGGCCCGAGAGCTTGGCTTTTGCGGTCGGTCGGACCTGGCCAAGCGGGTTCCATTGCTTCCATACGGTTCCTGGCAAACAGGAAGGCATGGACATGCATAGCTTGGCCGGAGCAGCGGAATTGTCATGGATTCCCTGCGTTTCCTGACGAGACCTGAAGAGGAACGGTACGTAGTACGGCTAGACCAGTCTTTTGGATTTTCGCAGCGCGGGTTGGAGATGTGGCTGCTCAGGCGCCCTCTCAAGTCCAGAGGCTGTGTGTCACGCAAAGCAAGTTGGCCGTCTGCTTCAAACGCCAGAGGGTGCAACAAGTACTGCCAGTGGTTGTGGAAGACAGTTGTCAAACAGTTGTTGAGAGCGGCGCAATAGGAACAAGAGGCGTTCTTTTCCCGGGACCTGCTGGGGTTATCCGGGGCCTTGCCGCCGAAAAATTATCCGCAGGTGTTTTGCTACAGCGCATGTCTCGCAGCAAGCGCTTCGCAGGCCTCTCGGTCGTGGTTCATTGGGTATGCGGTATGCGAGGATGTTGCTATTTCTTGGTTGGTTTCCTGGTTGGTTTCCTGGTTGGTTGGGTTAGGTTGTGTTGGGTTGTGTTGGGTTGTGTTGGGTTGTGTTGGTTTGTGTTGGGTTGGGCTGGTGGTTGTTGCTTGGTTGGGTTGGTTGGCTGGCTGGCTGGCTGGCTGGCTGGCTGGCTGGCTGGCTGGCTGGCTGGCTGGTTGGTTGGTTGGTTGGTTGGTTGGTTGGCGGTTCGGCTAGTTAGTTCCAGGTGGGTGTGCTTTGGAGTCGGCCCTTTGCGTTGTGTCTTTTTTTAGGGGCCCCCACCCCTCTCAAAGTTGTGGTTGTCTTTTTGGTTCCCATTAAGCCAACCCCCAAAAACCACCAATTCAATAAAGGCACGCCCTTATATTTTAAATGGTTCTTGACTTTGGACACGCGGTTGGCGTGAACGAGGTCCCCCCCCAACACGAATTGAGCGCCGCGAGCGAGACCGGATGCTCGAAGGTAAAAAGAAACATCAATGCGAACCTTGGTATGCGTGAAACCTCGGGATATGCCAAGCGAGTGGGTGTCCCCTGTTCCTTGCAGGGTGACTGATTTTCCTATTTGTGTTTCCCTCTCTTGGGCGAGGGCATGAGCAATTGCCCGGCTTCCCACTCACCAAGTGGGTAGCTTCCCACCAGTTAACATGCAACCCGACAGGTCCTGAAGCTCACGTCAGGTCCTGGAATTGTTCAGTTTTCAGATCGCATGTCAGCCCAGGGCGTCTTAGGGTGCGAAATGGATCCACAGCATCCGAGGCTTTCGCGCCCATTTGGCCAGCGTCTCGGAGACGGAGCGGCCCGCAGTGCTGCGGCCGGAGCCGTCCCCGCAGCCGCCGGAGGCGTCTCCGGCACCGGTGGCGCGGGGTCGGGAACGGCGCCACGGCACGCGTTCGTCGCAAGCTGTCTCGGGCGGAACCGGGAGGGAGCGCTGGGTGCTAAATAACCTGTGGATTCTTCATGTATGCAAATTCCAAACCAAGACAACATGGTAATCCCTATTTAGCACTCAGGAAGTAGGAATCGCATGGAGGCCTTCATGTCAATGTTGCATTACTGAGTTGAATCTTCCCTCAGTGCTTCTCCATCCCTGCCAATTGGTTCCCCAAGGCTTCCGGGAACAAGTTTTTCCCCCACTGCGAGAGAGCCTCTTTAAGTCAATCATCTCTCAATGGGAAGGCTTTGCAGTGATATAGCAAAGGGGGGACCGAATACGAGCTAACGAGAACTCTCTAGCAGAGGTGTGTTTATATATATATATATAATATGTGTGTGTGGGCGTATGTGGAGGGTTACAACTCAAACCTCATGCGAGGCTGCTTGTTACCATTCCTCGAGTCTTGGCCGGCATCTTCCCATGGTAGAGTCTGTTTTTCTCCCACTAGTGGCGACCACCTGCTTGTTGCCATCAGTTGCGTTTGCATCTGTTCACCCCTTTTCACAGAAACATAGGCCCCAAGACACGTACAAACCATTCTCTGAAAAGGGAGTCAGCTGGCAATGCTTGCGCAAACAGACCCGGGTCCTCATTCAAAATCCAGGAAAGGCGGTTGACATATTGTGATATTGTCTGTTGCCCAATTTGTTTTGACATTCATTGCCAGGGCATCGGTTTTGGGTTCCTCTTGTTTTCTGGTGCATTTGTTTCTGGAACGTGCCTATCTGTCTAAACAAGCGGCCGGCCTTACCCCGGGAGGAGTCAGGTTCTTGAATTGTTCGACTTTTCAGAAAGCAAGGCCGAAATGGCCAATAGAGTCGTCACGTATTCGGGTGAAGCTTTCAATTTTACTGGGAGGGCATGCCGGGCGATAGCGTGCAACATCAGGGTCACTGGTTGCTTTGTTCGCTAAGCCTCCGCAAAGGCCCCTCCTCGGCTTTGCGAGATCTAACAAAGGACACCTGGGATTTGTCATCCCTCTTAACGTCTTGGTTGTCCGTCTTTAGTCATAGAAGGTGAGCCCGTGATGTCCTGGTCCTTTTTTGGGCAAGGGAGATATGAGGTGAACGAAACCAAAGTAAAGTGATTCGCAAGGATCATGGGTGTCCTTTTTGGTTGTTTTAGTCGAAAAATAGATGGGTTTCGATTCCTGGTTTGCCTGGTGGTTTTTTCTCATCTACCAGGGCAACCCATCTATTTCCAACCTGAAAGGACGCCTATGGCAAGGATTTTTTTCTGAAGGCTTGCGGGGCCTGGCCAGCGGCTCAAAACTGGTCTCGGCCGTCGCTCAGGCGGCTCGAGAGTCGACGCGCTCAGGTTGCGAGAGCACGGCAACCTGGCGGAGCTGCATGCCCGTGGCCTGGCCGACACGGAAAGGGCTCTAGAAGGCTTCGGGGAAGCTTTCTGGGGTGGGGGATCCCATGTCTGGGGTCTCCGAAGCTGTTACTACATAAAAGGATGAGTATAGATATAATCTATTATGTTTATATATATATACGTATATATATATATATATGAGCAACTGTCAAAGCTCGCGTTATCTAGAATATGTATTCGGCGGACATTTGCAAGCAACAAATCGGAAAACCTGTACGCGAGCGAATTTTGATAGGGAACCACCTCCGAAATGGTCGATCATACATCCACCTACATGAGTGTCCATCATAGGGTTGCTACATTAAGATTCAAGCCCCCCCGCAAAAAAAAAAAAAAAACACGGGATTCAAGCCCCCTATGGTTTTGCCTGAAATGTGGCTGATCGCCCAGGTGCTGCGACTCCGGAAGATCGGCCCCGTACCTCCTCCCGATCCGTGCGCTCCACGAGGTCCATGACCTCGCAGGACGCGGAAAAGAATTCCGGAGGCTTTCCGGCTGCTTGGTCAAAACCGGGCGCCAAGAATCAGACCTTCTGTTCGGCTTGGATTGAAACCAACACACGCCAATTTGGAGCCGCTTTTGTTTTGTTTTTCAGCTTGGGTTGAAGGGAAGAACACACAGCAATCCGAAGCCGGCCCCAGTTGTTGCTTCTCGGGGGAAACATCTTGGGATCCCCGATGTTTTTTGACAGGTGGCCATTTGCTGAAACAAGGCTTTGGGACCTTTGAAAGGGGAACAGGTGCCTAGGCCCACGCGTGCTGGGGCCCGCATACCTTTCCTTGTATGAAAGAAACGTGCTCAGTGGACCTTGGGCCCAAATCAGCCCGTGGGGAAAAGCTGAAGGCCAAGAAGAGCGGGAGGCCCCCGGCATACGACTTGGGATTTGGTCCCCTTCCCATCTCCACCCACTAAGGGCCCCTTGATTTGCCTAGCCAATGACGGAAGAGGCATTCAGCTTGAAGGCCAAGTGCTTCTCTCCATAGGGAGGCTCTGAAATTGTCGCCCCAGTTGTGGCACCCGCTGCGTCATATTTTCTGCCTTTGACATCTTGGCAAACATGAATCTTCCATTTGCTTCAGAATATTTTTTAGTTTCCCCTGTTGGCCTTAAAGGGAGCCTATCACTACTGGAAAGTCTCAACCAAATGGAAGGAATATACATCTTGAAAACACAACATCATTTTGACAACCCCCCCCCCCCAAATGGCATGTCTAGAGTCTCAACTACGTGCTTTTGGGCGTGGGTCCGGCGTGGCATGAAGGAGGCAACGGTTTTGGCTTTGAATGTATCAGGGCTACCCATTTCATTGTGTGTTCCTCAGGTAGAGACTAGAACCAAGCTGCCATTTTGCCTTGGGCAAAAATTGAACTCGGCATATTGTTGATTGGAAGACGCCGCAATACTGGTAAGGTCGTGTGCTTATCCTTCTGCAACGAGCCCTGAGCCCCAGTCTTTGTTGGAAAGACGGTTGCGTGCTTTTCTCAGTTGTTCAAAGCCGACCTTTTAACCTTTTGGTTCTCCATGTTGGTCCATATTTAGTCATGAGTCATTAACCCAAAAGGTTAACCTTTTAGTCCCTGGTCCTGGCAACTGAGTTGTCCTTCCCTGAGATTCCCGGGTCCTGAGTCGTTTTGTTTGCCTCTTTTGGCAGGACAGCACCATCTCCGACAAGAGCATGGGCCTGATCACGCCCCGCTCTGGGGATGAGACGCCTCCTCCCACCCTCTACGGTCGATTGTCGAGCCCTCGAGGCAGGGCGAGGGGGTTTTATGGGGACCTGCAAGTGATGGGCTTCCTTCTCGTTTCCCATAAAAGCCAACACTGGGGGTCCCCAAAAAACCGAGACACCCCTGGGTTGCTCCTGTTGAGTTGGCTGAAGGTTTTAGAACTTGCTGGCAGTTTCTTCGTTGTTGTTGTTGTTTTTTTGAGTCTTGGTGCAGGCCCGCCATGAGAAGAATTACGCCTTGCAGGTGACAGGCGAAGAATGAAGTTAGAAGACTCACATGACCGAAGGCGTCGAGGCATGGCTTCCGGAGTTGGGTGTGTGTTTTAAGGTTTTTTCCCGGTTCAGAGGGAACCGAAGAGAAACCAGTGTCTTTGGGTGGCTGATTTTCTCAACTTCGACCGGCTCCGAGTCCTGATGGGTGGCTCGTCTTTGTTTTAGGTTGGGACCCACCGCAAAAAAATGCAAAACGGTGTTCCTGTTAGTTTCCATTTAGCACCACGAATAAAACCATGTACCAACTCAAGAAAAGGGCACACCCTCGGGGCTAGTGGTTTTGGGTGCAGTGGGCACCATCTTTTGGCCACTCAATTCCTGAGTTCATGGACTTTAGTCACTTTTTGGGGTTGGACCAAATTTTAGTGGTAAATTAAACATCTGGATACTGTTTTGGGGCCCATCAACCCAGGAAGTGAGAAAGCATAGGTGGTTTCCCCTTGCTTTCCCCTTGGTTTCTCAGAGGTTGGATTTTGACTCGGGCTCCGAGTCCTGACGCCTGGCACTGCTCAGGTGGCCACGCCGCAGTGTCGGCCATGGCTTCGGAGCTGGCGAACTTGCTGCAGGCGGGGTCTGGGGCGTCTGGCTGGGCCGCCCCGGGACTTTCGTGCAAGGCGAATCGACCTGAAATCACCTTTCGAGTTCCCCTGGCCCATATCCCCAAGGTTCCACAAGGGGATGGTGCACCTTTTGTTTCACGCTGTTTTAAGGTTCCAAAAGGTGAGCGCCTTGTGTTTACAGGTGCTTTGGTTGCAAGTCAGGGACGCTTTGCTCAACTGTGGCATGAATTGACCAAGTCTTGGATGCACCATGGCTCCTGACTCCTGGCCAAGGCCTATTTTGGGGTTTGCCGCCGTTCGCTGTCTTGCTTTGTTTTTCTGCCACTGATCGTTTCAGCCCATGCTCCGAGAATCTTGGTTTGGGGGGCAGGGTGCTTGGGCCTTCTTCAAAAAGGCAGGGACCACGGGTGTGGAGACCTGAAAGGATTGCAACGCATACATACGCCGCTGTTTTTCGGCCAATGGCAACCATAGTAGTGCAGCCCCAACAAAAATAACTGGCGATCAACAGCGAGCCTAGTGCCCAACCTCCAACCTCCAACTTCCAACCCCCAACCCAACCGTCAAATAGGAGCACAGTGAAACACATCCCTTTGCAAGTGGCTATTTCCGAATTGAGGGTCCAAGTGTCGGAGGTCCCCTGTTTTCACTTCCTGAGTTCCTTTTCGGATTCAGTCACTTTTTGGGATTGGAGCATTTCAGTGTCACTCAAACAGTTTGGACTTGTAACCACCATTTTGGAGGGGTCCAACCTTGAAACACGCCCACATGAGCTTGCTGAAGGCAAGTGTGCTTCACAACCGAGGTTCGCGAGGGTCGGATCAACCTATGCGGTGGTTGTTGCTCCGCTTGGGAGGGATATGTTGCATTCTACGTGTCCCACAAAACTCCCGGCAAATGCCCTCATTTCCCCACGTACGTTACGAGAGCCAAAGTTGCATATTCGGACCGCAGGCTCAGCAGCGCCTGGTTTCGTCATTGCAACCATCCGGGAACGAGGAGTTCCACAGGCGGGAAGGAGGTGAATCCTTTTGGGTCGGTGGATCTACCTTATCAGTTGGGATGGCTTGCGCGCAGAATTGACTCCCCGCCCGAAAAAAAAGAGGAGTCCAATTCTCGGGTCACTGAACGACTGTCCGGGCTGTGTTGCGCCCATTGGCAAGGAGGCTTTGAGGTTGCAGGTGCTAGTTGGAAATTGGCGTTTTGCTTGGGTTGCGGAGGTTTGCTTCGAACACGAAAGGACTCAGCTGAATTAGCATGTATTTTTGTTGTGACACTGTTGAGAGGGGTCCCGGGGTGCAAGGGTACAACGGCAGAATGACCATGAGCTCTTCTTGGGTGTGCACGAAAAGGGCCTGTAGGCTGCCTAAGGTTTGCTCACTCGAGTTCCGTTTCGGACTGAAATGTCACTTTTAAGGGTTGGACATTTTTCTGGTAAACACAAATAGAAATGTACCAATCCACTCAGGAAGTGCGGGTTTCTTGATTGCCGGGCTTGCGCCGCAATGCGCCAGGTAAAACAAGCGTCGATTTGGCAAGGTTGAAGACTTGCAGTCAACAAATATATCTATTGGAATCCAGAGTGGTTGTCGGGAATTCCTTCGGGAACTGTTATGTAGACGCCCCTTTCAAAAACAGCCCCAACATTCCATAATTGGATTGCCTCCTCGGACCACTCCCCGTTTATCACGGTCGGTCTAAAGCTTCGGCATCCACTGCAAGTGGTCGTGGTCAGGGTTCCTTGCATAGGCGTTTTCTTGGACTTCAGGTAGGATAGTTGATACTAGTTTTCCGGTTGGGCATTGCGCACTATATCAAGTGCAGCACGTCGGCGATAAGCGAAATCGTCTATCAATTGCTTCTTTTGGCCAACAGGCTGGGTCTGCCACCTGCTTCACACAACTATAGTAAGGCCGTTATGGTAAGGCCTACACCTTTAATGTTGACCCCGGAGTAATTTAATAGGGGGTGTTTCCCCCAATAGTGGTGAATGCCCACAAGGGGACATCCATATGCCTTTTGTTATTATTATGATTTCCCCTGTCTGTTTTCAAGGGAATCGATGTCACAGGAAATATGTTCCCTGCTTTGCCAGGGGCGAAAACGCAAATGGAAGGATTGAATTTCTCGGCTTCCCAATAGACCTTGGGCTTCGGCTCGCTCCCGTCGAAGCGCTTCGATGGCGCAGGCAGCTTTTGGTGGCACTGGACCGGCGAGAGAGGCCGCAAACCAGCCGCGACTCGGAGGTCAACTGGACAGAAATCCCCAGATGTCCCCGCCCCAAAAGGTGTCCACCACAGGGGTCCCTTAGGCCCTAGTCAAAAGAGACATGCCCATGTTTTTTTGTTTTTTTTTGAGTTGGTGATCTTTTTAGGTTGAACATGTGGAGTTCAAGGCAATCGGAAACCAACAGGAACATCACCAGCTGGCGAATCCAACGCAATGTGACATACCCATGTGCTCAAACATGGTGGACATACGCCCGTGTAGCACTGTGAGCTTCTTCCAACCGTTTTTTGGATCGGTGGTCCAAGTCTTAAAAGTAGCGGCCAAAGGGGTATGGGTCAAAATTAAACCACTAGTCGTTGGTTCCATTTATCGGCTACCCATTTTTGACCCACAGCCAAATGGGTCGTTCACATCTGGGTGTATGAACTGAAGGGTTTGAGTCTGGACAGCTTGAATCTAGCAGGGGTACCTCCACACATGGTTGCGCTGTTGATCTAAGATCCCTGGAGTCGGTTCGCATGTTAAGGTCCACAACATGCCTATCCAACACAAGTACTGATTTTTGCCGGAGTTTGGGCTGGCAGAAGTCTTCGGCAGGTGGTTTCCTTTTGGTTTCACTTGCCCCAAAAAGGGGTAGCCACAAAAGACAGGCCCTTGGGGCAAGAGATGGGAAGGTCCTGCGGCTGAACCTCTCGGTGGGGGGATGTCTGAAGTCTCACGGGTGCCTTGCTTGGGGTCGGTTGGGGTTGGTTCGAGTGTCTCCTTTTCAGGTTGGTTTTCATGGAAGGGCAAAAAAAGAAAGCGTGCTGGAGGGGATCCCAACCCAGCAGCAGGCATCCAGTGTCATAGGCATGTGGAGTTTGGGATCAAGATGTTACCAAAGATGTTGAGGCAATATGCCGTGGACTCCTCTTTGTCGAGGACCTCCCAAGATGGTAAAAATTATGTGGTTCCTTTGGGTTTCCCTTGAAAACCACCTGACCCAGCGTCCCGAGCCTCATTCACTGATGTTGCAGCGAGGTTCGAGATCTTCCTTGTCCAGCTCCGAGAGCTTCCCCCTGGCTGCACCTTGGCATAGTTTTCATTGGTTCATTTTGCCAAGGCATGTTAGGACTGAACGACTTTTTTCCCGAAAGCATCGCGAAGGGTTCTTCCGTGCGGAGCCCTGGGACAAGTTACACAGAGCCAAGTTGCACAGAGCCAAGTTTCACAGAGCCAAGTTACATAGAGCCAAGTTACATAGAGCCAAGTTACATAGAGCCAAGTTACATAGAGCCAAGTTACATAGAGCCAAGTTACATAGAGCCAAGTTACATAGAGCCAAGTTACATAGAGCCAAGTTACATAGAGCCAAGTTACATAGAGCCAAGTTACATAGAGCCAAGTTACATAGAGCCAAGTTACATAGAGCCAAGTTACATAGAGCCAAGTTACATAGAGCCAAGTTACATAGAGCCAAGTTACATAGAGCCAAGTTACATAGAGCCAAGTTACATAGAGCCAAGTTACATAGAGCCAAGTTACATAGAGCCAAGTTACATAGAGCCAAGTTACATAGAGCCAAGTTACATAGAGCCAAGTTACATAGAGCCAAGTTACATAGAGCCAAGTTACATAGAGCCAAGTTGCATAGAGCCAAGTGGCACAGAGCCAAGTGACACAGAGCCAGGTGGCACAGAGCCAAGGTTAGGTAGAGCTTGCGTAGAGCTTCGGCGTAAGCAGCTATGTAAGTTAGTTTAGGTTTCTAAGGCGCCGGGGCGGGAGTTTGATCGTCGCTCGGGATTGCGACCCTCTGCGGAGATTCGCGTGGTCGAGGTCAAAAAACTGAGGACTTTTTACGATTTCTGCGGGCCGCGCGCGACCCTCTGCGGAGATTCGCGTGGTCGAGGTTCAAAAACTGAGGACTTTTTACGATTTCTGAGGTCCGCGCGCAACTCTCTGCGGAGATTCGCGTGGTCGAGGTTCAAAAACTGACGACTTTTGACGATTTCTGCGGGCCGCGCGCGACCCTCTGCGGAGATTCGCGTGGTCGAGGTTCAAAAACTGAGGACTTTTTTCGATTTCTGCGGTCCGCGCGCGACCCTCTGCGGAGATTCGCGTGGTCGAGGTTCAAAAACTGAGGATTTTTTACGATTTCTGCGGTCCGCGCGCGACCCTCTGCGGAGATTCGCGTGGTCGAGGTTCAAAAACTGACGACTTTTTACGATTTCTGCGGTCCGCGCGCGACCCTCTGCGGAGATCGTGCGCTGTGGCGCCGTGCGAGCTTGTCTTAGTCTCGGCGAACCCTCTGCGGAGAGTGTGCGTGTCGACGCAGAGCAACTTGCTCAGAGCACTTGCGCAGAGCAACTTGCACAGAGCACTTGCGTGCCGCAGCGTGCAGCAGCTTGCAGAGAGCAACTTGCGCGCAGCAGCCTGGAACAATGCAGCTTGCGCAGACCACTTTCGTGAGAAATCGCGCGGCGCAGTTCGAGAGGAAAGTAGGATGATGAGATGGAGCTCTCATGTGACCATACACACTGAGCATCGCCGCGCGCAGACACGCTCGCCGCAGTTCTCCGCGGCTGGATGAGCGCCTGTGGAAAAATGCTTTCGGGCCAATCGTCCTCTAGTGATCCAACTACTGGATTTTCCGTATTAAACCACTAAACGTTTTTAACGTTTAGCAGGGGAGCAGAAAGCAATCGAGTTATTTTTCATGGCGGTTGAACACGGGCCTGGTCGCAAGGCCCCACGCAACGGACAGCTCAGGGGTCCTCAGCGCAGATGAAACCTGCCTTCTTTTCTTATTTTTTTTCCGGGGATCCTCTAAATCAGCTGGAAAAAGAGCTTTACTTTGCTTAAAGCCGGATGTATCCTGGGGGCCCTGCAGTTTCCCCTCGCTTCCCCAGGCACCAGCGGGCCCTCACGGGCCCTAGGGACCGAGCTACCTACGTCTTTCTTTCGTTTCCCCCGAAAAAACCCCCTCAAGGAAACATGCAAAAGGCGGTCTGCGCAAGAAAGACGCAGGAAAAATGTGCATGGTCTGGCTCTGGGCCAGAAAAAACGAGACTGCTCTAGCCGATTTGGTGCAGGGAAGAGAATGTTTCCATGTTTCCGGGTAGTGAGTTTCCGCATCTTTCCAGGTGGTTTCAAGCAGAAGCACCGTTAGGAAAGACCACTTTGCGGGTTCCATGTTTGATCTGGCTTCATTGTTTCGCGCAGTTGCGCCCACAAAAGGACGCCTCTAAATTCAAGCCTTTGGACCGGGGCTCGGTTGGTCCGAAGGGTGAGTTTTCTACCCCAGCGATGGTCTAGCAAATGACGTCCGCTCTTTTCAAAAGGCACCCTTGTCGCAAACTGACAGGGGCTCCATTGAATAGTTGCAACCACTACCCCCAAGGCAAGACGGCTGGTGCAGAACCCCGACGGGGGCGATCGTTTTCTTCTTATGATGTTTGCCTTTCCGACCTCTTGGACAGAGGCCGGCGCCCGAAATGAATCCATGTGTCCCAATTACGACTTCAATCCTTGAATCGCCGCGGCGGTTTCATCTTTAAAGCACCTCCCTTCGAGCAACGGGTTCTCATTTTGCTCAAGTGGATTCCTTAGGAAAGTGCACCACTGGACTGCCACAATCCAGTTCAACTGAAAGCTCGGGTTTCAGCACGGCTTTTCATGGGAACTTAGGATCGAGTTATCCATCGGTGGGTTACGGACATGTTTCATAGGGTGAGATCGCCCGTCCAAAAAAACACAAAAAGGTGCAAAAACCCGATGTCGATGTTAGAGAGACAAACCAAGACGCTTTTAGATTTAGACCTATCCTTCGAGGTCTCAACTGCCAGCTTGGGCGAAGGCTGCGTGGCGGATAACTTCATTAGAACCAATTGGGTGGTGCACAAAAGAGCCTGGGCAACTCCAACGGTTTGCGGTCACTTCGAGACCAACTCAGGTCAAGACAGGTTCAAGGGCAAGTCTGTCACATTTTTCTCCAGCGGACTTGAGCGAATGAATGCATGATGAATGTCCTTTACTTGTGTGAGATGCTTTTGACCAATATGGCCATGGGTCAAAAGCCCGTACCCCCAGTGAACATCCCAATCCACACTAGAATAGACTAAAATGGGTGGTGCACCTACCCCAAAACGGTACCATTGGTTTTGACCCACAGCCATATGGTAAAACATGCTGAAGCATAGTCTACGCGAGCTTCCGGGCAGGAGCCCGTGGGGAATTGAGGGCTCTGTTTTGGATTGTGGTCAGACAGCGTTGACATAAGAGATGGATGTGTTCAAGCAGGTCGGCAGGCTGGCAGGCAATCTGCACTACACGAGGCGAGCTCACATTGGCCCAGCGATCTTACCAATTGTGCCTCACTGGTCCCTGAATTCAGGTTGGGGCATCGAAAGTGGTGCATACCACGCCAACATGTGGAACCAATTTTGGAGGTGTAAGCACTGAGCTTTCCCCGGCCAGATTTGCACCGGGGACAAACACATTGCCAGACTTTAGCGTTCTCATCGTTTGCCCTTCGGGGCTTCCTCCGAGATGAAGTTTTTTGCAGTCTGGCCATGCACAAAAGACACCAAAGGGCGGCAGGTGAAGGACAAGCGGAAAGACTTAAATGGTCTCGTTAAGCACCGGACAGGTGGTGAAGCAGTCGCATCATGCCAACAACCATGCTGCAGGACACTGCCCACTAGTTTACGGGTTTATTATGGATTAGCAATCCTACACCCTCCTCTTCAATGATGCCGCACCTTTTTTTCAATTTGTGGCGAGCTTACCTGGTGAGCCTTGGTGCCGTTTCTGATTCGATTCTGGGAAACTGGGGTACGCTGGGGGTCCAGGGGTGCATTTAGCAAGTTTTCGGATGCGGCAGGGGGGTTGATTCCTGCCGCGTCTAGGAGCTCGGGGGCGGAGGGAGGGGGGGTGACCCTTCTGATGCACATGGTGTGGAGCTAGGAGTGCAAAACAATGCAAGTATGTTGTGAACATCAGAGTGGCACCCCTTGTTTATTTGACCCGCAGCTAAGCTTTCTGAAGGGTCGAGCTCGGGGTCAAATTCATTTCGGGACTTGTGGCTGGCTCAGGTCCGAGCAATCTTTGACTCCGACTCCACTCGTCTCTGGTGACCCAGAACATGTTTTTTCTCTGCAAAGCGTGCGGAAGCCGAAGCCTAAGGAGGTTTTCGACAACCTGCCTGATGCACAGCCCCGAATGGCTTGCCCAGCCCAAGATTTGAACCCAAGGGATGTGCGAATTGTGCAGCTTGAAGAAGCTCACTTAGAGTGCTGATTCAGGGTCGATCTTTGTAACATGATCGATGTAGTCGTTTGGGGGGCTCTGTTACATACACAACGCCTCATGTTCGTGTTTGTTCGCAACGGCTGGACTACCCCCACAACAGGATGTGTATTGGTAGTACTGGTACTTGGACGCAGGCGGGCTAGCACGCTTGGTTCCTGACCAGTGGCTTAAGTTCCCTTCTTTGCTCAGAGAAAGCTCCAGTCGGAAACTTGCTGGAGTTAGAAATGTTTGTGTGTGTGGCGCCTGTCAGTACCTTCCCTCCCAAAAGTCAAGCACAATCGACCATTTGGAAGGTGTGTCGTTCTTGGTTCTCGGTGCTGTCCCTTTGCATAGGGAAAGCCATGCCCTCTTGTGGTTTCCAGCTCTTATTTGGAGACAAACCCATTGAAGTGCTTGGTTGCAAGATGTTGCAAGGGTGCTAAGTCCGGCGACATTTTTATGGCGCAGGAGCCACTGAATACCAGATATGTGCGGGGAATCAGGACGGACAGCAATACCAAACACAAACGCCTGCACACACCACATATGACGTTTCGTAGGCTACGGTAGGGGCTTAATAACACAGCAAGTGTGCCTATCACTGTACAGGCTTTTTGATTGTTTTGCTATCTGTTTTGCTTTGCTGGAATTCTTGAAATGTTCCAATTCTGCTTGGGCGTGCGCCTTTGCTTCAGGAACAGACCACCACAAGCCAAACCACAAATTAGGGGGAAGCTGAAACATCAGGTGTAGCATAGACGCCGCTCATGACTTTCACTTCAAACATCGGCGCTGAGACGAGCCCGGACTGGTGGGGCCTCTTGGGGGAAGCTGGGAAGCAATGACACGCTGGACATGTCTTGCATCAAATGCCCCACTGGTGAGAGACACCGTTCGGAAGCAGACTCACGGGGCGTGTGTTGCCTCAGTGGAATGTAACACCTTTGCATAGTTGCCATTGGTCAAACCGCAAACAATCCAACATGTGAACTTGCTTACTTTGCACGTACAGTTGTCATGGGTCCATGCATTTGCTTGCCGTCGTCGAGGGGGGGGGAGGAGCTCGGCAGTTTTTCCACACGCTTTGCCTGTGGGCTTCGGCCTGTCGACCAGCCTATTGCTGCCTGGCGAACAGTTGTGGGGAGTTCAAAGGCCCCACTCTCCTCAGTGGTTTTCCGCCGCAAGTTTTAGCACCGCCAGCTGAGTGAAATCTGAGAGAAGACGACGCTCTCTCGCGGCTCGGATGCCCGAAGTCTCGGGCTCCGTGGCCCTGGCGGTTTGCCAACTGGCACCAGCGCCGTTTCAAGTGGCCGGATGGCCTTGGGGGCCATCCAGCTCAGAGCTTCAGATGCATCCTCAGAAGCAAAAACACGCCAGTGGTATCTTCTGGTTCGCGTCGCAGTTTGCAGGTTTGCAGGTTACAGGGGCCTTGCGCAGCAGCCAAACTCGTGCGGCATGTGTTGCCCGTTTTTTTTGTTTGTGTGTATCTTTGGGGATGCGAATGAAGCGAATGAACGGCAGGATCCTGCCCGCACGCTGCAGGTCGGGCCGTTGCGCGCAGTGGAGAGCGCAGTGACGAGAGAGAGAGAGAGAAGCCAGACATTCTCATTGGTTTGCCCTTTCCACACCAAAAGCTAGGGTTCTTGATGGATATTTGGTAACGGATCCTTCCAGCCAGAAGTTTCTAGCCTGCCACGTACTCATATATAGCACAGCCCGAAGAAGTTGCATTACTCCAAAGATTATGCCTACTTGGTTGGATCCTTGGACTTCAGCTTGTTAAGGGTATCAGTGATATCAGTGGATTGTTCATTGGACCCACAAGTAACTTGAACTTTTTGCAGGGGGGTCAACAGCAACCAAGGTTGTTCGAAGGCAATACTTTAAGCCTTTCTGCTAGCCCCGCCTGGAACTGAAGTTTAGGAACCCCCCGTGTTGAACAACCCCTTGCTGGAAAAGGGACCCAAAAGAAGCACGACTAGTTTGGCGTATCCGTATTGTGACACACCCAGTTGTGTTACGGTGGCGCTCGCAAATGGACCAAAGTCCAGCTGTCAGGGGTAGATCCCTGCGAATGGCTTTCTTGTATTCAATACCCCTTTGGCTGTGTGTGTGTGTGCGCGCGCGCGTGCGCGCGCGTGCGTGTGTTTTCGAGGCTACTCTTTTGTTGTTTTGGGTCAAGGCACACTGAATAAACGAACACAACACAAGGGGTGGCTCCTTCTCCAGTCTGTTTTTCTTGGCCCATCGATCAGGGATTGAAACAAACAAAGGGCCTTCCTTGTGACAGTGGGCAACTGCAAAGCTTGAGGAGCAGGCAATACCATGATGAGACTCACTGCGCCCTCTTTGCAAGATCTGGCGCGGTCGGACCTCCTTAAAAAGGCTTTTGACCTAAGCAAGTAAGATGCTTAGCAGAAATGGTGGCGAGCAACACACGTGCCGGAAGAACCAGGAAGGAGCAGTTTGCAGACTACGAGGGAGCACTGCACGCGGCCTGCAATCTTCCCAGATGAAATATCCCGGACTTTCGGTCAACAAATGTTTTGTTTTTTTTTTTTTGGGGGGGGGATCCCTCTTTTTCTCTAGGGACATGTCTGAGAAAAGATGTTTATACCTGGGTGTGGATTAAAAAAACCTGGTAGCCCTTCGATGCTTTGGATTTGAATCTGCAGCCCCGGTACTGTACTTGTAGAGGGTAAATGAGAAGCAGCCCCTGAAGATGCCAAACAACCGGGCTCCAGACCGAGTGGGAAGCTGAGGGTTTGGGGGGGGGTTTTGTGGATGGACGCAATCCATGTCGAAAAGCAGCGGGTAGGGAGCTTATGCTATTGAGCTGGATCTTTAGACTTTAAGCTTTTGGAGGTCATGTTTCCTTTTAACCTGCAAAAGGTTCAACTTTTGCTGGGGGATCTACAGCGCGCAAGATTCAATTCGGGGTTCATCCATTGCAGCTGGTGCCTAGCTAGGATTTTGTCCATCCACAGGGGGAAGGGAGTGCAGGAGGCTTACCAGGTCTTTGAACCAAGCCGGTGGTCGGAGGATGAAAGCTTAATTAGCCACAGACCAGTCACAACCATGTGGTTGACCCATCTTTTTTGAGTTGGTACCCTTTTCGGCCCGGGTTTACAGGGGAACCAAAAGGAGAAGCACCATTTTTCAGGGTGCCACAAAAAAGACTCGATGCTAGCCCCGTTTGGCCGGGCCGTAGCGAGCTGCTAGCCATCGAAAGGGCCTCAATTGGAATGCTCATTCCTACCCCATTTTGGCCACTTGGGATCCTGTGGCTTGTGAAGTGTTTCCTAACCTGAGTTCCTGGCTTCCTGGGATCAGTTTGGTGGAAACAAAGAAGTTGCTGGTTGCGTTTAGGCCCATCCACTCAATGAATATTTCTCCAAGGTTTGGGAACACGACAGTTGCTCTCCATCCGACCTGGTGGGCCCACGTGGTGGGGAGCGCCGGGTTACTCGAAATGCATGAAATGGCATTCAGTGCCTCGCTTGTCAGGTTTCGCTGAGTGAAACGAGGGTGATATTTCCCCCCAATGAAATCCAAACATGAACTCACCTCCACAGTTTCTGAACTTTGAAGTTTGAGGGTGCAAGGGGTGAAAGTAGATGGCGCTGTTCCCTCGATTTCGGTAAGGAGCCATCTACTGTAGCCAACTGTTATCCAAAAGTTTGCACATACGCCGACCTTTGGCGACCAATGCAGGGCGGTGAGTGGACCCCCCAAAGCCATCATGTATCACGTGAGGAGTTCCATGCAAAAGTCCTGTTCATTTCACAGGGTGCACACCGCACAGCGCACGCGCAGAACTCAAAGGTTTCCTCTAACATAGGGGGTCCTACAGCACTTTCCAGGTGTTCCATGTGAGTTCCCATACGGTGTTGAGCCTTTTGTTGGTGCTGTTTACATGTTTATCCGCGCGGCTGCAAACTGCAAACATGGATGACAGGTTGGGTTGAACGGTTGGGCAGGTTCCTCAAGGCGAATCCGGATTTGGTTTTGGGGAGTTTATTGCTAGCTCAGGTCGTTTTCCATGCGCCCCTGACTTCTGGAGGCGAATGCTGCTTATTAGTCCTCAAGTTTTGCCTTGGGATTGTGAAATTGCCTGATCTAACCACGTATAGGTTGGCTTGGGCAAGAAGGTCAAGTTCCGATCCCTTTGGGGAGCGTAGCTACGCCGTTTAACCCGTAAAGGGGGGAATGTCAGCTCGCTGCTCGACCCATGTTCAGCAATCAGCGGTTGAACAGGCGCTCAAAATCCGAACGGGGAGAGTACATATCTTGACTGCTATTGGGTTGGATCTTTAGACTTTAACTTTTTGGTTGAAATAAAGGTGTTTTCCAAAAAGTATTCTTTTGCAGGGGGGTCAACAGCAATCAAGATATGCGGCCTCATTTCCTACTTTGTTTTTGAATAAACCGAAGTACATTTTTTGTTTGGCCAATCGCAGTGCGCCATTCTCTCAAAGGCATGGAGTCGCCGGGAATGTGCCGCAGCTGCTTTGTGCCTTATTATTGACCGGTCATGTCGGTCAGGTCCGGCATGTAGTCATCTTGCCAAGCGAATCCGCGAATCTGACACGCCCTGTTCGAATTTTTGAACATCTGCCCGCATCCGAGGAGTGGCAGAACATACTCTTTCATAGCCTTGAGCTTCCTGGTGTCCAACCAACTTGTAGGGTATGTCAGGAATTCCTCAACTGTCTCCCTTTCAGAGAACCTCCATCTCAATGGCATCTCAGTGGCACCCCCCAGGAAGATTCATCAACTATTGAGAGAGGGGAATCCAGTAACCCCTGTTATGCGAGGAGGGGCATGCGCAACAACAGTTCTGCAAGCTTGCGGGCTGCGAATTGGCCCTTCGGCCGAAAGCGGCCCTGCAAGCAACAAGAATACAAGACAGCCACGGGGCCCAAGCTGGGAGCACGGCGGTGTTGGCACCCTCACATTTAGTTGTTTTTGTTCAAGTTTGACTAACCCCGAATGAGAATTGGACCACA